TATACACAAGGTCTGAATTCACAGACTTTGCTTTTCGAATATTTTCAATATTTTTTATTTTGTTTATGTTTTTATCTTCGCTCTTTCGGCCGATTATTTTTTCAAAAATATATATTTTTAACCATTTTAAATTTTAAAAATTTATTTGCTAACCTGAAAACAATTTGTGGGAGTTTTTTCATTGTGTTTTTAATCCTGTGAAGGCTATAAAAAGCGAACAACTTGCCGTTTTCTCGTTCGCAAAACATCATAAATTCAGTCTGGCCGCCATTTTGTTTTTCTCTACTAGCAGGATATGAGCTAATATCCTGGTAGTAAAGAACCAATCAGATTGCAGAATACCTCATATCCAGACCTTGTGTATATAATAATTACTATTAGTATAAACCTACTAGTAGGCTATTAGTGATAGCCTACTAGTAGCAACAAGCGGTGAAGGTAGTGTGACCATATTCAGTATATTTTTTTAATTTGGTAAAATTTCGACAATTTTGATAGATATTTGGTAAAAAAGATTTTTTAGTAAAATTTTCGTAAAATTTCTTAAAATTCAAGGATTTGGTAACTTTTTTGGTAAAATTCTATTAAAACGTTTGATGATGACCAGAAAACCATGCAAAGTGCGAAGTACATGCCTTCCTGATGCTGTGGCGATAGCTCACTTCTGAATCGAAGCCTGTGTTCTGTTTGCTCATTGCACGCTTCAGGTTACGTCATTTAATTTGTCACCTCTTTTGAACGAATAGCATGAAGTAGCGCGCGCAGCTGAAAATTGGGCATTTGACGAATTTCATTTCGAAATTGCAAACTTACATTTAAAAATATGGATTTAATGGATAGTATTTTGTCTGAATCAGACTCCGAAACTGATTCAGACAAAATACTATCCATAACCCCCCCCCCCTCCCAGGAGTGGGATGGGTAAAATCCAAATCTGGTAAAATTTTGGCCTATTTTGTAAAATTTTAGCAAAGGTTTAGTAAAATCCGCTGACAAGCATCTGGTCACACTGGGCGAAGGACGCGAGAGTCAATGGCCGTTTTTAAGTATTAAAAGCTGCATTTAAAGGGAAAAAGCTTATAGGCCGTGGGCCACAAGTGATTTTCGTTTAATGCCGTTGCCCAAATTTGCAGAATAAAATATTTCGATATAGACTTACGTTTTGAAGTGCACTGAATTCAATTCTTCTTGTTCCCAAGTCTGAAACCCCGCAGTTTTTATGTAAAATCGCATTGAATATTCATATTTTCAAATTCAAAAATTATGCAAACCGCCATTACTCAATGAAGACACATCACTCAAAAATGCGATATTCGGTGCCAGGCTCTCGCGCGCTATGTAAATTTACTTTCAAAATACCGCCGAAACTGCTTTTGGTGTATAGTTTTTCCAGATACAAAGAATACCAAGAAAATAGCTATGTTATTTTGCATAATTTTTGTATTTCAATATCTGTTTTTCGCCGAAATTTAGTCCATGTGAAATAATAATGATTACATGTCAAATTAGGAACTTGATTGGGGAGGGGGTAACCTATTGCACTAATTTTTTTTTTCTGCCGTGTCTGATGTTGGAATTTTTTCGGAACTTTAAAGATATTTTCCTTTGCTTTCCTCTTTGCACTAGTACTTGTTCCTTTTATTTTCCTTTGCACGAATCTCCCCCCCCCCCCAACCAATCATCACTTTTCTAATGGTTCATTTTTCTAATGGTCCGCGCCTTTAGATTATTCTTACAGCTGTACGCAATAATATTAATTAATCAGGCTAAAATTAGCACCATGCAAACTTTGGATACAAGTAAAGGTAGGATAGAATTTTTATTTATTTTATTTATTTATTTATTTATTTATTCATCATCGCTCAAGTTTTCATCCTCGTAGTTACTGTTGATCATATCTTCTTCATCATCTGAGTATTGGGATCTGTTGTTGCAATTTTCACATTTACAAAGTTCAGTACAATGTAAATTGGCTCGTTTGCAGCCACATCTATTGGACTCGCATCCTGTTTTGCAACCGCAATTTACAAACTGAAGCAATTCCTCTGGGGCTGCATCAATTGACATCCATTTGAG